CTTTCCCTCTAGTTAATATTTCTTTTATGATTTTATATCATGTGAAAAGCTTCATTAAAATCCACCGTAAAGAACATCGCCTTCGACAGAGTGCATCGCTTGGGGGCCGTGAGGTCACCGGCCGGGAGACCACGTCCTATCGTGGCCAAATTCGGCACTTCAAACAAAAGCAACATGTGAAAAGCCGCGGCAGGGAATTAAAAGGAACGGACTTCAGCGTGAACGACCAGTTCCCCAAAGAGATCTGGAACGACGCAGGGTCCTCTTCCCAATCCGACGCGGCTTCATCCAGAAGGGCTCCCGCGCTGTCATCGCTGTGGACCGGCTGTACGTGGACGGACAGCTCCACCGCGACCCCAACATCACTCCGTGGCTGTATTAACTCACACCAGATAAGAATCCGCTACACCCTTTCCCTATCCACTCACACTAACTTGCATTAACTTAACATTAACATCTGTTTAACTTACCAGTATCAAATCGCATCTTAAGTGTGATATGATAGCAGAATTAACACCGTCACTCTCCGTCAGATGATTTAATTGGAATGTTTCCGGGTTTTTTTTTCTTCTCTCTTTTCCCCCTCTTGGTTTTTATGCTGCTCACCCCTGTCCTTGGTTTCTTTCTTTATTTCTTTCACTGCTTCGATCACCTGCTTCCACACTCATCCACAAACAACATCCTTTATTTCGACACATACGCACAGCACGATCACGCACAGTCATGCGCTCAACGGCAGCACATTTACATCAGTCAGACAGCGCACACAGTCGTATAGGATACACACACTTAAGCCAAGCCTACTCATATTAGTAACTATGCATACACAAAGTCAGACTCAGGGAGCATCTCGCCACACATTTTTTCTCTCTCTCCTTCTCTTTATTTATGAACAAGTGACGTATTCTCTCCACCTGTCTAAGCGACGCACACAGCATACATCCCTAGTTATACACAAACATCTATGGGTACACTGAGGTTCATTACATGGAATATAAATGGAGCTGGCTCCAGAGTAAAGAGGTTAAAAATATTTAACCAACTCAAAAAACTACAGGCGAGATGTTGTCCTTTTACAAGAGACCCACAGACCTCTTAGAGGTTCGAATGAACTTAAAACACCTGAGTTTCCCAATGTGTTCTCAGCTTGTTATAATTCTAGACAAAGGGGAGTAGCAATTTTAATACATAAAAATATTAATTTCACAGTACTCGATACAGTTATAGATCCAGAGGGAGATTCTTAATCATTAAACTATCTATACTTGATAAAAAGCTATGTATTGCAAGTGTCATGGTCCTGGGTCGGTGACCCAGCGCTTTAAGTTTATTATTATCATTTTCCAATTTATTATCATGATTATTATTATTGTTTGAGTTCTACGTGTTATATTCGGTCTGCCTCTGAGTCTGCGTCTGTATCTGTCTGTCTATGGTGTCACCCCGTCTGTTTGTGAATCTGTCTGTTTAGTTCAATGTCTTGTCTGGTTCCATGTGTCTGAGTTTCCTGTTTTATTGTGAAGGTCTGTGTCGTATGTGAGTGTGCTCAGTTTACGTTTCCCCTGTCTCGTCAGCTGTGATTTCTCCCAGGTGTGTTCCCCTCCTGTCTCTCATCCCTTGATTACTGCCGTCTGTGTATTTAAGCCCTGTGTTTCTCTGTGTCAGTGTCGCGTCGTACCCTCAGAATTATGCCTGTGTGTTCAGTTCTCGGTGTCATTGTTCTGTTCACGTTTTCGTTTGTCGCCAGCAATAAAGCTAAGGTTCTCAGTTTCAATTCAGTCTCAATTCAATTCCAGAGTCTCAGAGTCTCGCATTTGGATCCTCCTCTCCATCCGCCTGCACACAGAGCCCTGACAGTAAGTGTATATGGTCCAAATGTTGATGATCCCTCATTCTTTCACGGTTTTTTCAGTGCACTCTCTGAACACTTAGATGGCACACTTGTGGAAACTCAACAACCTCAAATAACCACCAAACAACATAAGCACAAGAAAACAAAACCAGGAAATGAGATGGAAAAGTCCATAAACACAAAACCCTGGGTTAAAGATCCAGAACCGTGACACAGACTGAGAGTACACCTGTGTTCAGGTAAACCTCTGCAGTTGTTGTATTCTGGTTTCATTTTATTAACCCCGATTCTTTTGTCCCCATGATAGAACAGAGAAAACCGACTCATAGTGTTAAAACATTTATATTTCTTTTTATTCAATCATCTTCCAGAAGACAGAGACCTCTGCACAGCCCAAACGCCAGTTGCAGGATCTCTAACATTAGAATTATAAACTGTGTCTCATATAGGTTTTATTTTGGTACTTTACACGTCACAGTTTTAATACAAACATTGCTTATATGGCAAAGTTCCTCTTTTCTGTCTGGCTTCCCGTATTTATTAATGTACTGTACAGCTCTACGGCTCTGGGCATACGGGACCAATTCCCAGGAGTCCTTGCGTGTTGACGTCACAGAGCTAGGAGGAAGAAGGAAGTCTTCTTCAGAGCGAGCGGACACAGCACGATGGAAGAAAATCAGTGAGTGTTTAAAGTTTAAAGAACTTTTAATGAGACTTCTGCTTGACTGTCGACCTCCTTCCTTCTTATGGATGTGATTAGGATAAACATGTGCCAGTGAAACTTCCTGTATGAACCCTTAAACTATTCGCACATTTTTACGAGGAAGAAGTCGTTGGAAAATTGGGTGGGGGAGGGGGTTCGTGGTTATGTTGTTGTGTGTGTGCAACTCAGTTTACGTTCATGCTTTCTGAAATCACCCTTATCTCTATAAGACGACCATCCACCTTTGTAGAGCGCTGCAGGCCATTCCTGTTTCACTTCTTGCCGGGCGTTCCTGATCGCTGCTCTGTGATTGGCTGTGAGGAAGTGTCTGTCTTAGAGGAAAGCAGAATTATTTTAATGCTTTTCCAGTTTTCTTCTGCAGGAATCTAAAGTTGTGTGATTTTTAACAGGGCACAGGTCAAGATACTGCTCCTGGAAGAGCTGAATAGACTGACTGAGGAGCAGTTTAAGAGTTTCAAGTGGCAACTGGGACTCAGGATGCGGGATATACCTGCATACCAGCAGGAGAGGGCAGACCGACATGAAACTGTGGATCTGATGATGCAGCATCGCCCCCATCAGGCCGTGGTCATTACCACTGAGATTTTTAGGGCCATCGCCAGGAACGATCTGGCTGATCATCTGACTGAGCGTCTGGCCGATATCAACATGGGAGGTGATGAACCTGCTCTTTCCAAATGAAGCTGTAGAAATGTCCTCACTTTATTCGCACTGAGACAGCAGCAGAGCACGAGCTGAAGCAAGAAGAATGATTTCATTATTTTTTTAAGAGAACATTTAAAAAATTACCTTTATTTGGTAAAACTTTTACGTTTTCATGACGATGGTGAGGAGTGGTGTGTGAACTTGTGAAACACACCAGAACCAGCATGACAGAGTGATCATGTGACTCTGTGATTATTCGACTGTTTCTCTGTTTCAGATCTGAGATGACGGGTCTTCGCCTGAAGCTCCAGAAGCATCACGTTCATCAGCACGAAATACAAATCCATGTTTGTTTATTGATAAATAATCAATAAACTTGTTTTACATGATCTCTGCCTCTGAGACCCAAACTCTGTATTACAGCTCCACCATAAGCTCCACCTTTATGCAACTGGGTCATTAATTACATATGGTTATAATTACACAAAACATGTTCTAAAACCCACATTTGTCCCTGGTATACCCGACCTTTAGGACCTCCAAGTTTGTAGTCATCTTTATTATCAGTTAGAGCGCCTCTGTATCCTTTTCTTCTTCTTTGGTGCAACCCTGTAAATTTGGGCTACCCCTTTGGCCTCTCTCCTTTCCTATAATTTCCTGTGGGGAATTATTCCAAATTATATCTTTATCCACCTTGATGTTTGTCATTGTGTGTTTTTGTTCGTTATTGTCGTCATTACGACTGTCTTTACTAAATGCTGTGTGTAGTACGTGTGTGTCTCGTGTGTAGAGGCATTGTTAATGCTAGCATGAAAGTCCACACTGTTTATATGTTACTTGGAGGTCTTTCTTTCATTGTCAGGTATGTCAGGTGTTTTTTTTTTTCATGTAAGTTTGTACTTCATGTTTAATGTAAAAATAAATGCAGCCCCTTTTCTACAGTTCCCCTGTGGGAGAGGAGCTGGAAAGTTGTTTACTTGGAAGTGTTTCCTTCTACCCTTCTGTCGGAGACAATGCAGGAACACACCGGTTACACTTACAGGTCCAGCACAGCCTCCATCTGAAGCATGAGTTGTACACGATGATTTACCAGCAGGCGTAGGTGTGCCCATCAAACCAAATCATTCCCAAATGAATCGTTTACTAATTAATCTCAGAACCTCCACCAGGTCACCAGCTACCTGGCTAACATCAGGGGCAGGGCACACAACAGTCTGTTTGGCACGCCACTAAAAACAAAACCCTGACGGTTCACCCGTGTCCTGCTTCTGGGTGTTAACGTGATCTCCTGATCAAGCTTCAGAGAAGCCTGCAGACGGTCGTCACCTACCTGAGCTCACAGTCCGGCGTTTAAGCTCAGTGAGCTCAGTAACACCTGGAGGATGCAGCAGCCTCTGTAAGCAGGCAGAAATATTTCTTTACTCCAGGTTAATTTGGTAACACTGGAAATGAAACATGACGTCAAAAAGACTAAAAGGAAAAAACGTTCCATGTTTTAAATGGAGTAAAAGCACTGAAAGTCCATGTTATTTTACATTTTGAACTTTCGATTAAGTTTAAGAGCGTGCAGTTTGTTTGTGCCCATTTTTTTTAAATCACATAATTACATATGTACCCACTGCACGGGTAATAATGAACCACCGGCGAGGGCCACCAGAGGGCGTTGTTGGTCTGCCCAGAGAGGACTGAGGGTCTGACTGTGGCTTCTTTGGCAGACAGGATGTAATCTCAGGAAAGGAGGGGAAAGAAGACAAGCCAGGACTGGCAGGTCAGAGAGGGCGGAGCTAAAGAGAGAGAGAGAGAGAGAGAAACCTGTTTGAGTGATCGGGGCTCGCCCCTCCAAGATCAGAAGAGAAAAAAGTGAAGTAGGATGGTTGGATCTGACTTTTACTGCAGGTAAAACACAACAAACCCTCAATTTATCTGTGTGTGTGTGTGTGTCTGTGTGTGTGTGTGTGTGTGTCTGTGTGTGTGTCTGTGTGTGTGTCTGTGTGTGCGTGTCAGTGAGTGTGTGTGTACCCAGTTGTAGTTGAAGACATTTGCTTTGTTACATTTTTGTGTATTGTTGTGTCTGTCTAGATAAAAGCGTTTCCAGTGGACTTGTAAACCCTATGTCAGGGGGTCCTGGTCCCACACCTGCATTATGGGGAATATGAGTCTGTTTTTAGATTCAGTGCATGTGTGTGTGTGTGTGTGTGTGTGTGTGTGTGTGTGTGTGTGTGTGTGTGTGTGTGTGTGAGTTGCTGGTATGTGTGACCGGGTGTGACACAGTGTCCTGATTTCAGACTGAGGGTTTTTTTTTTGCTCTTCATTAAAAATCTGTAGAAATGACAGAACTGTAGTGAGAGTGTGTCTGAAAACCCGCCGGGCATAAGAACAGGTTTTACTGTAACTGCAAACTCTGTTGTTGGTGGTGGTTACACTTAGAAATGGGACGGTCCAAAAGTTGTCGTTCGACGCACACCTCAAACCTGGAGGTAAACATTCACAGGCCTCGGAAATATTCCCTTTTGACTGTTTTATCGCCACAAATCACAAGTGAAGAGCTAAAGACAGAAAGAGTCAAAGGAAGAGCTCGGTACAGGAAAGAAGGGCCTTCATCACTGAAATGGAGCCAGGCCTTTTATTCTGAAAACAACCTGCTAAACACATTTTACAAAGTTGTGGTCAAAGTCCTCGACAGGCTGTAAACATGCAGAAGGTTCACCCGGGTTTGGATACGTGCTCTTGCATTCCTCACACACAGACAGAAACAGCACATGTTTTATGTCTGAATCTTATTAGACACGTTTTGTGTTATTACACAGGGACACATCTTACATGAAACATACAGAACCACATGTAACAGTGTTCTGTATGTTTAATAATGCTAAAATATTTAAATCACACATGTTCATCGTGTGTTTTGTGCGAGAAGAACTTGAATAAGAGAAAAAAGAATTTGCTTCCACTGAAGTTTTTAGAGGCGGGTCACATGACTCCACGCCGCAGGCTGGAGTTCCTCATCAGGTAAAAACTCTGCACGTTATAATTCTGTATGCTAACAAGGTGCGAACGCATTTCACTTTTATACAGTTTATTACATTAAGATGTTTCAGAAAACAACAGAAGCTGAACATCTGCATGAACAGATAAGAGCTCAATAATAAGATAAACCTACCACTGTAGTATGTGTTTATAATAATGTTATAATAAGTGATAAATGTGTTTAGTTTGTGTTTGGACACAGGGCTGTGTGCTGTATTCTCCACAAACTGCATAAACCGGGCTCAACCTGAACCCTCACTCACAGTGTTTTAGTGTGTGGGGACTATTTGTTTTCACGGGGCTCACTGAGCATCAGGTTACAGAGGAAGTTTGAAAGGTTTGAAACAGCGTGCGAGGAGAGCGCGGCAGGTGCCAGCCAGTCAGAGCCGTGTGTTTGTGCTGAGAGTGTGCGATGCTTATGTGTGTGACTCTGTGCATTCCTGTCAGCGTCGGTTTGGTTCCAGCCTCGTGTGGGCGGAGCCAGCAGACAGATTTATGACCTGGACTCGTTTATTTCTGTGTGCTGTGACCACACCCGCTCTCACATGGGGTAAAGGTTGAACGGTCTTTAGATTAAGCGAGCTGGGATTGGCTGCTGGGTGTATGATGTCACTTGACGGATGGCTGACGAGACCCTCACAGATTCTCCTTTAAATGTTTTATCTTTTCTGATTGGTGGACAGGGTGTGTCCCGCCACAAACCCTCCAGTTTATTTTTTCACATGCTTCGCTCCTGTGGTCACACAGAGCAGTGTGTGTGTGTGTGTGTGTGTGTGTGTGTGTGTGTGTGTGTGTGTGTGTGTGTGTGTGTGTCACATACCAGCCTGCTGGTGCCGCAGAGACACAATCACAGTGCGCGAGGAGGGGGAGGGGCAGCAGCATTCCAACATACCAGCGTCTCTGAAACTCACCTGTCCCAGGTGTTTAAATAGAAAACAATGGATTTCAAAAATAAAACTGTATTTGTCTTTGCAACGGCAACAAACAAACAGCAGGAGAAAAAACAACAATAATAATTATTAAAAATGACTGAAGTCATAAATAAATGAACAAAATTACAGTAAGATTCTTAAGGTCCTGTTTATGAATGAGTGAATTCCTTCATGGTTTTTGTACAGAAAAACCTCAGATCACTGAAAACCAGAAAGACAGATTAACAATTCACGAGAAATAATAATCAGTAATCATGATTTTCTTCTAGAAATCAACACGGTCCACTGAAAACAGCACGACATCAGTCACATACTCCACTGCTG